GGTATTAAAGTAAAATGATATTGAATTTTTGTTCATTGGGGCATCAAAATTAAAAAAGAGGCTAAGACTTTTAAGGAACAAAACTGCCAAAAAATGCTATAACTAAAGAGAAAAGGGTTTTTTTAAAGTCCAATAAACAGAATGAAATAGAAGAATATGATTCATGTAGCCGACCTCAAACATTTAGGATAAAAGCTTTGTACTTGTTGTTGTATTAGGCCCCTAAAACCTTTTTATTTTGAAATTAGTCCCCTAAATCTTCATATTTTGAAATTAGTCTTCTAAACACGTACGTTTAAGTGTTTTGAATCAAGTCCCCTAAAAATTTCAACCTATCCTCAATAGAAGGACTAATTTTAACATACTTAAAAGAACTAGAAAGCTTACAAGTTTTCTCGTAATAGAATGAAGCATTATACAAAAAAAAATTTAGAGTTTCATTTCATCTTTTGCTACTGAACTTGGAATGGATTGCTTCTGCTAACTATTAACGGCGTATCTTCAGAAATACGAAAAGAAAAGGGGGGGGGGGGGGGGGGGAATAAAAGCCAAAGGACACATTCAAAAGAGAAAACACAACGATACAAGTATAAGCAAAAGAAATATTCAATAAAATGTCTCGTTGATATCCTCATAGATTGATACATAAGGAGGAGGCTGCAAAGTAAAGAACCTACAAGTTTGAAATCGATTAATCAAATAACACTGCAAAGAGAAATTTTGGCCACCTTGAGATTACATAAACGTCATAAAATCAAGGGAGAAGCCTTATTATGAAAAGATTTCAGATAAAAGAAACTGTTTCTAGTAGCAGATAGATTGGAGGATTACGTTCTCATGATGAGCAAGCTAAGCTATAAAAGTAGGAAAAGTAGTTTCCGATTATATCAATTAATCGGGTGTCATAGTTAAATTTTGTTGTACCTTTTTAAGGGGGAAAACGCAATATTGGGGTACAAAAGTTTGAAAAATGTTGTAAATTTTGGGCTATTTAAATACGGCTAAATAGCAACCTTATAGTTTCTCCCATGTTACACTTATGTACCCTCACTTGTTTTCTAGCATTTTTAAAATTGATACATTAGTACCCTTTTTTATGCGAACCTGAAAAAATTCACCCGAATCCAATATGACATTCATATGCTAATTGATTCTAAGTATTATATGAGAATAGTCAGGTTGAAAATTTTCACAAGGGTACTAATATGCCAACTTTAAACAATTTGGATAAGTAAATTCTAAGAAAACAAATGAGGGTACATAAGTGCAAAGTGAGTGAAAGTATAAGATATTTCATGATAAATAAATATCTCATTTCTTCCTTCTATTTGTATTAGGACTTTGGTGAGAACTTTATCTAGAAAAATTGAGGAGAAAAAAAAAAATGAGGTACATGAGATTTACTTTTCGTCATCAGCAGGGTATTATCTAAACGTGTCACATAGTATAGTATATGACAGATTTGAATAAAAAGGGAAGAACAAGAATAATGACAACAGTAAAGGTATTAAAGTAAAATGATATTGAAACTTTGTCCTTTGGGGCAGCAAAGTTAAAGAAAGCTGAGACTTAAGGCCTAAGGGTCAAAAACTGCCTCCAATACCTGAAGTCAAAATGGTTTTTTTTGGATAATAGATCTTTCATATATTGAAATTGGTCCCTCCAAATCTTTAAGCGTTTTGGAATTAGTTATCCAAATCTTTATATTTTAAAATTAGTTCTCCAAACGTTTAAGTGTTCTGAAAGCATGTTCGTTTTCCAACTTGGTGCTAACAAGCTAGACAGACTAATTTCAACATACTTAAAATATTTAGATTTGTCCTAATTCTATTTTAAAATATGATTTTAATAAATTTTATAAAAATATTAAGATCGTTAAAACATTCTATTAGAATAGTGATAACTATATTACTACTGCTATATATTCTACGTACACCAACATAGAGAAAAGCGACTGGGGTGGGGGGTTCAAATCTCTTTATATTTTCTGAAAGCCGATGACTCATCAAGGGGAAGCTCACACCTTCTCACTTAATAGTGTAAAAACAGTATAGGAGAGACTAGTATATTTAGCATGTAACTGTGAAATAAAAATTGTGAAAAGGAAATGCTCACATCTACATAGTTGAGTGTATTAAAATGCAAATTTAATAAAAAAAAAATCTAGATTATATACCATAATGGGTGATCAGACAGTTGAGAGGTTCTTATATGGCTCCCCTGGCCTTGGGTTCAATTCCATAGATTATTAAGAAAAGCATTCTTTATGGTACCGTTTGGCAAAGGGTTAAGTGAGGGGTTAAGTCTCTTCTTAACCTGCCAAATACAAAAAATCTATGCTAGGGTTAAAGTGAGTTAACCCTCTATAATTTGTCAAACATAAAAAATATAGAAGGGTTAAGCTAACCCCTATAGAGGGATTAAAATGAGTTAACCCCTCAAAATGAGGGGTTTATTAATACTCCTATTTAGAAGGATTAAGAGTTAACTCTTCTAATTATAAAGAAAATAGTTAAAATCATTGTTATTCCCAAACACTAAAACTGATCACAAGGATTAAAATAAGTACAATTGAGCCTTACCAATTCCCACTACTCTCATCAAAAGCCGGGAATGGACGGAGAAAGACACCACCTACAGATTCCAATTTATCCCACCACGCACCACCCACCACCGTCGGCCCCTAGCATCCACACAACCGCCCTCGACGCATAACGACGTGACCTCCCTCTTTCCACCCTATATACCGCCTTCATCGGCTCGCATGCATGTGAACCCGGCCCTCGCCACGCCCGCCACGCCGTCCCCACCTCCTGCTCCGCCTCCGCCGCCTCCACGCCGAGTCCTGATGTCTCCTCTTCGCATCTACTCTTTCTCTTCCCTCGCTCGGCCCACCGCCCTCAGGCAAGCCATCCGAATCTTAAACCTCCCCACGGCGCACACGCGACGCGCGTGAGATCGAGCAGAGGAGGTGCGAGGGTGGGGACACAATATTGGCGTCCGGCCGCTAGCTGTCGGGTTGTCGGTGGACCGGCGTGCGGCTTCTTGATTACTGTTGATGTGAGTGCGCGGCGGAAGGCGGGCGGGCGCTCGGTGGTTGTCCGTTTGCCCGTGACCGCGGACTCCTTGCGACGCGATGTTCGCCTACATTAATTGGCCAGATCTTCTTCTATATATGCTTTCACCAGCTTAATTAATTACTTGTCCCTAAACTAATCATATTTATTTGTCGCTTATCGTCTCGTGACCTCTATATTATTACTCTTGCAATTGGTCTCACCTTGCCTCCTCTTAAACTATTAAACGCCGCCCCTGCTTATTTTCTGAACTATCGAAATTCATTCAGTACCTAGTTAATTACTAACATGTGATTAATTTATTACTTTGTTTGTAGATTTTTTTTTGGGAAAAATGTTTCAAGGCCCCAAAACCAAAAATCGGATGTGGCCCAGCCCCCCCAATTATCTGCCTTAGCCTTCAGCCCTAAAAAATTGCAAAAATTGTGGGCCAGACCCAAAAGCCCATACGTATACATCTAGTGGGTGTATTTTGTTGCTACCTGCCGAAAATGCCCTCATCTCTCTCACTGAGAAAACCGGCTGAATGGGTTCTCTTGTTCGGTGATCTCTCCCAACGCATTTATGACGAAGTGACGGGGGAAAGCGGGGGGAAAAAGCGCGGGCTCCCGCCATTACTGTCTGCTTCATCATCCTTTGTTATAAATTGGTTAGTTTTATCTCTCACTCTCTCATTAATAAAATTAGGGTTTTTTTTAACTGTCTACAGCCCTTTTGCACCTAAAATCCCCTCAATTACTCCTCAACTCCTCATAATTGCCTTCATTACTGTCCTCATAACTTTCAACCACCCCTAATGGCCGCCAATGACTTGATTTGCATGGTGTCTTTAGGCGAGAATGCCATATTCGTGAAGCTAAGTTCGACAACAAGCTTTGATGAACTCCAATTTGATGTGTCTGAAAGATTGAAAGTACCTAAAGAAGCTTTATCCTTTATATTTAAATCTGAGAGGCACCCCAACCTCAGTTTTTCAGTTGACAACGATGATGATTTGAAGTGCATGTTGGAGCACAATCGAAATATTGGTTGTACGGAGATTCACATGCAAGCTGCTGTTAATGTAGAGTGTTCCACTTCAAGGAAAAATCAGATTAGGGAAATGTAAGTAATTAATGAACTCTTTATAACATTGGGTTTTGTGTGATGTAAACATTGTTATTTTTTTCTTCAACTTTCAACCATCCCTTATGGGCATCAAATCCCTCAATGTAAGTTATTAATGATTTGTAAGTAAACAATGAACTCTGTCAGGAACAGGTCTATGTGTGATGATAAGCCAATTGTGATTTCAGGTTTCGATGCTAACTTGGGAAAAAATAGTTGTCATCTCTGATGGTTAGATGTTAACTCTTCATCTTACAGGTTAATTTTCCAAGAGATATGTTAACCTTTACATGAACATGTTAATTGTCGTGGGAACATGGTTAATTTTACACCCAGTTAGTCAACTTTTGTTGTACTATGTTAAGGTTTACGGAAAATGGTTAATTTTACACCCAGTTAGTTAACTTTTGTTGTACTATGTTACCTTTGGTCCTACTACTGTTAACTTAAATTATCAGAAGATAATATAACATATTGTCCATGATATCTCACTGGTTGATTAATTTGTGCAGTAGTGATGCCTCTTTGAATGCAGAATATAGTCCTCCTCCTCAAGGAAATGCATCCAATTCAGAGAGAATCCAAAATGATTTCCCGGCTGGTGAGATTGTAATGAGAGCTGATGATATTCTCAACAACACTTCCAGCATTCCTCAATGGTGGCACACAGCATTAACTGAAAAGGGGCAACAATTTGAGACTGTAAACGAATTGAGACTAGCTTTGCAGTACTATTCCATGGCGAAAAAATTTGACTATGAATTTGTAAAGAATGAACCCAAACGTATCCGAGTATGTTGTCGATATAAGGAGACATATGGATGCCCTTGGATGCTCTTTGCATCTCCTGTTAAGTATGGTAAAAGAATTGAAATCAAAAGGTTTGTGAATGAACACGGTTGTGGACAACATGCTAACTTGTCAGGGCAATCACGGGCATCTCGTAAATTCATAGCAGCCCAATTACGACCGGTATTAAAGGCGCGACCTGAAATCCGACCAATTGATGTGCAAAAGGAGTTCCGCACTCGATATGGATTGAGACTTGAATACAATAAGATATGGTGGGGCAAAGAAAGAGCGCAGGAGGATATGTATGGTGATAGTTATTAGGCTTATGATCAATTAAGATGGTAAAATTTACAGTTATTTTATTAAGTGTACAAATTTTTATCATAGCCGCTTATAGTACAATTGTTAGTTGTTGATTTATCATGCAATATCTTATCCTTAGATGTTTCATGTTAGTTTTCATTGATATGTTCCAACTGTCATTGTGGAATGTTATGTTTTATGAAAACTTGTGAGCTTTTATGTTAATATATTATCCTAATGTTCCAATGTATTATGTTGATTTATCATGCAATATCTTATCCTTAGATGTTTCATGTTAGTTTTCATTGATATGTTCCAACTGTCATTGTGGAATGTTATGTTTTATGAAAACTTGTGAGCTTTTATGTTAATATATTATCCTAATGTTCCAATGTATTATATATGCTTGAGCAGAAGCTACATTGTTGTACAGGTATGAGCAAAAGGTGAAGGAAACGAATCCAGGAAGCTACATATGCATTGACCAGAATGAAGGAAGGTTCAAAAGACTGTTTATATGTTATGCCGCTTGCATCGTTGGTTTCTTAAATGGGTGTAGACCCCTATTATTTTTGGATGGGACCTTTTTGAAAGACAGATACAAAGGCATGCTCCTGAGCGCCATAGCATACGACGGAGACCAAGGGATATTTCCGGTTTGCGTATTGTATATGTGATCAGGAAAATGTTGATAATTGGAGATGGTTCCTTCAAGGCTTGTGGTCCATACTGTATGAAAGGTTAGACCCGTACAATCCTCCCCACCAATTGGTAATTATTTCTGATGCCGACAAGGGGATTCGAGAAGCCGTGAGAGAATATTTCCCTGAAGCAATCCACTCACGATGCGTTCTGCACCTAGTTGAAAATTTTAGAACAAAGCTAAAGGATTTGGGATTGAAAGCAAAGGACACACAAGTTTTGGGGAGTTTGCTCCAATCTGCTTGCTATAAATACACTATAGCGGAATGGAACGACTACATGAAGGAAATTTATGAGATGGCTCCAGTCGCATATGAGATTGTACTCTGTTATTCGCCAGAGAAATGGGCGAATGCATTCTTCCCTGGCATCAGGTAATGCATTCATCTTAGATTATGACGTTTTGCAGTTGATGTTAACTATTCTACATATATGTGAATTTTTCTTTCTATAGGTTAACTTTGTCTGATATATGTTAACTTTCAGCAATATATGTTAACACTGATGTTTTTATGTTAACTTTGAGCAGTAAAGGTTAAGTTTTGTTGTTACGTGTTAATTTTATTACATATTGGATGCCCATCATACTATTAATTATTTTGTGCTTTGCAGATATGGTCATGTAACCTCTAATGTTGCAGAATCCTTTAACAGCTCGATTGTTACGTATCCTGCAAATGATAGAGCATATCCGAAAACAAATTATGAGTCGCCTGAACAATAGACGGATAATGGCTGATAAGTGGACAAGCTATCTGTGCCCTAAAGCTGAGAAGATTGTTAGAGAAAATATGGAAAGAGGACGTACTTTAGAGGTTAAACAATCTAGAGATGATATATTCGAAGTGCAGTCACATAGAACTACTCACGTTGATTTGGAGAAGAGGACGTGCACTTGCCGGTCTTGGGACGTAACCCGTATTCCTTGTGTGCATGCTTGTGCAGTCATTATTTATATGAAAAGAGACGTATATCAATATTGTGATTGGTTCATGTCCGTAGAAGCGTTTAAGAAGAGCTACGACGAAATATTATATCCCATCCCAGATTATGAGAAGCGGAGTGTGTCCAGGGATGAAATACAGATTTTGCCACCAATTACCACTAAGAGGAGGGGAAGAAATAAAACAAGACGCATAAACAACAGAACCATTTACAAACGTCCAGTCAAATGTTCTCGGTGCAAAGTTGATGGTCACAATCGAGCAACCTGTAACGAGCCCATCTGGTGACTAGTGTGTTTCTGTTTCTTACAACAATACTTTTGTATGAGACAGCAAAGGTTGTTTTTAAGTGGTTAAGTATATAGTGGTGGACTTTTGTAATCTGTGATAATGATCGACTAATCATTTTGTTCATGCTAGCAATATCTAAAAGCAAGGCTGAAAGATGTTAACGGATTTGTGCTTGTTCATCTTAGATTTTTCAAAAAGATATTGATTTTAAATTGGCCAAATGTCCAACATCTCATTCACTGTTCTAACGGCTAACTGTCCATCATACTGTGCTAACAGCTTCATTACAACGGCTAGTTTCTTGTTCCTTATGCAATATATAATGTGCCCATGGACAAGCTAAATTTAAATGTATGTTCTATCTTCCCTGCACTCGGAGTTTGAGAGAGTGAGATGAGAACATCAGAGATATCTCAGTCACAAGAAGAGGTGTGTTGTTTCTGTCAAATTCCAACACCCATGAGGCTGTGCAAAAATGGGAAGTAGCACTCGACTATTTTCCTGAGATGTTCTTAGAAAATCTTAGTCATTGCTCGCTGGTACGTGGCGCCTGCGTTCTTTAGACCGAAGGGCATCACCGTGTAGCAAAAGACACCAAGAGGCGTTCTGAACGCTGTATGCTTCTCATCATCTGGGTGCATTTTGATTTGGTTATATCCTGAGAAACCATCCATAAAAGACATTCTCTCAAATCCGCATGTATTGTCGATAATGACATCCGTGATTGGGAGAGGAAAGTCGTCTTTTGGACATGCCGTATTCAGGTCCCTGAAGTCGATGCAAATCCTGATTTTACCGTTCTTCTTCATGACTGGAACGATATTGGCTAACCAATCTGGATGTTGCTCCTCTCGGATAAATCCTGATTCGATCAATTTCTTAACCTCTGCCTCAATGGCTTCCATAATCTGCGGACGAACCCGTCTTTGCTGTTGTTTTTCAGGTTTGGCGTCCGACTTGATATCGAGGCGGTGCATTGCTACATTGGGGTCGAGCCCTGGCATGTCTTCATAGTTCCAAGCGAAGACGTCAATATACTCCCTGATGAGAGCAATTAACTCCTCCTTCTCATTTGGGGGAAGGCTGTCACTGATGAATATAGGCTTTGGGTTGGCCTCGTCACCCATGTTAACTTGGACTATTTTATCTTCAGTGGGTGGTTCTCTTTGTTCGAACCTATCGCCGTACTGCATGTTTAGGTGATGAACCCATGGATCTTCCTACGTTGGCATTTGATCGTCGTCTTCTATCGTCACAAGATTGACCGTAGTCATATGCGACATCAGTTTCTTGAACACCTCCCCCAAACTTGCGTCGGAATCCCCAGCTGAAGAATCAGAAGAGTATCCGTTCTTAGTTTTGTTAGCAATTTGATCGATAATTTGCCAACCACATTCATCATCAGACGAGAAAACATAGCCTA